CCAATTATATGAGCGAGATGGCCTCTCGCAAAAATAGGGATGCAATAACCTATGCATACAGAAATATAGTGGTAAAATCTATCCAAATGTTCTGCTCTGATCTCCTCTACTCGCAAGCCCACATATTCATGTTCCACATCGGAAGATAATGTCCTCCCAGCATCTCCCACTTCTAAAGTCTGACGTTCTTTCTCTTCGATAAAGAATCCCACGACGTGAGGTCAAAATTGGATCACTCCCGAGCATCATGCTTCCTATGCTTTTCACATGTTGCTTGTCGCAATAAACTTAAGCTCTTCACTCCACACAGGATTCGCAGAACACTGGAGAAAAGTATGTAGGATGTCAAAAAGGATATAGTACGATCGATTAAATTCACATAATATAGCCCAGTAACGTTTTAGTATAGCAGATAAAACATCTAAATATCACCGTCAATAACTTCAAGACGCCCCTTCCAATTTCGTAATACGGGGTATTCCTAAACCACTCTTTTAATAGTGCTTAAATCGATGGAAAAGTGGATACAAAAACTAGTGTTCCTGTTTTTCATTTAATACTCTTACAAGCACTAATCCAAATTCGCATTCCAAACGAAACACATAGAGTGGGAGCATTTTAAATTCATGCTTTAGAGTCCTAAAGGGAATTCAGAAAATAGCATATTCTTCATGAATACTTTCATTCACTCCAGTTGAATATTGGTCTTTCCGACAGACTGTCAAAACCGAACGGTATTTGTTTTGCCTGCATGTTTGATGTCATGAGGACGGCGCCATCAGCAATTCCAATTTTCGCAGTGGAAAGTCGTGCTGAGAACTGTTAGCGAATTTGTACTGCCTTGTCGAATAGTTCTCGTTTCCCCGAAGACCACTTCCTTGCGAAAAGACGACATCCTGGTTCCGATGTCATACAACTCGTGAAAGATTTTTGCATAATGAGAATAGAATCTCTAACTGCCTAGAACTTCCACGACCGCTCTTGAGTCCAGTAGTCTGTCTACCGAATAAAAACAAAAAAACTGAAGTATCAACCCTTTATTAATCCCATATTAGCTTAGTAATCTATGAAGGCATAAACCAAAGTCTTACACCATCGCGATAGTTTAGTGCGCGTGCTGAATTCTGGAAGCCATGCTTACTCATATAGTTGTTCATCGTCCAATACTTTATCAGACATGTTGGAAATGACTTGAATTGAACTTATGGAAGGAAGGCAGCGGAAAGATTGGCCGAATGTTCTTGACGGCGTAAAAGTCCCCTTTCATGCGAAAACGTTCTCCTGTTGTATTTCTACTGAGAACTAACAAGCTCTATGCTGACAGAATGACTATAAATGATATAGGTATATGATCCTGTCGAGATTTACTATTATATAATTCTTCATCGTGTGTATTATGTCGGATACCGAAAAAGTTCACTGCCGAACGCACTTACTGCCACGTCTAGATATCGAAAGGCGATCAGTTTGGTGATAGTACACCCAGTCTACAAAACGACCGTTTCTCTTTTCTCAAAGTATTGTTATAAACCAAACAGAAAATGAAAGACCTTCAAAAAGTTTAACGTAGGAACGCACTTTTGATGAAAACTCCAAGAATGATACGCCCGTTTGTAGAAAAATATTCATCCACCTGCATAAAATATTTTGATTGTATTAATCAGCTTACATCACATTTGGTAGGGAATTTCGGCAACGCGGGAGAACAAGCACAAAAGAAAAAAGATTATCAGAATCATAGACAAAGTGAAGTCTTAACAGTGTTGATATTATAGCTAAGACTTATACCATTTTGTACTAAGAGCTTAGCATAATCTAGAAATTTCTTATCAACCACAAAACAGCGCCCATGAGAATGAAGCTGTCAAAAAACAACAAGTGCAATAAACAGAACTGTAGCTAGACACATTTTTTTACGGTCAAATTATCTCCAGAGTTATATGGATTAAGCTATTTGACATTTTGGAAAAAACGTAACAACCAAATTGACTTTAAACAACCACTCCGCAAAGAAGTTGTTCCAATAACAAAATTTATTCGAAATATAATCTGCCACTAGGTAGAAGATTCAGCAATAAAGAACTCACGAACTGCTGAAGATGTCTAGCACACACGAAACCATCACCGCCATTATTACCCGGACCACACAGGACCAGCACTTTTCCCAAAAAAAAGAAAAATATTAGGATAAAAAGAAAACAAGAAAGAAAAAAAAGAACTTTCTTTCGCATTTATTTTAACAAACGACAATTTTCAGATAACGATCAGTTTGAAAACAAATACTTTCACGGCAGGGTATTATGTAAAATACAACCATAATGGCATTGAGATATTTGAAAAACTCCGGACCACAGGTGTCTGTGGTGAGGATCGAAGACGCTATTACGCTTTCCGGGAGCTAACGCGTTCACCACCACGCCATGCCGGTACTTCGTTTCGCATTTCTCTCAGTTATTTTTCTAGAGACCAAGCTTAAGCGATTTCAATGCCGATTTGTGCACCCTTGATAATTTCCGCTGATGAGTGGTTGCTGATAAAACTGGTAAATAGAAAAACAGTTAAGCTTCTCATACTTTATGATTACTTTAGTGCATGTTCAATGCTGTACTATCAACATCGGCATTAGTCCAGTTATGATGGCGAGAGCGCACCAAACACGGTAACGATATTCAAACATCCGTGAACCCTAGCTTTCTACTTGCATACTTGGACAATTTGATGGCCCTTCTTCACTGGTTGTGCGGGTCCCAGAATAATTTCCATTCTCCGGGGATTTGCTTGTTTAGCCACTGTGGTTCCTTGCAGTCCAGAGGACAGCCTGGCGAAGGTCTGCCCCATGTGGTAACCACCACAGACAGTCGCAGTCTTTCTGGATAAGAAGGGGATTTGCCGCAATGCGACTAGTTTGATAGTGGTGGACAGTGGTCGTGTAACTTCCTACTCAGTTTGTAAATGGCACCACAGTTTACCAACCATATTCGTCTTCGAGATTTTTTGTAGCAAACAACTATTCACTATTTCCTCAATAAATATTGTACCTTTTGAGTATTGGGCATGGACGGCTTTGGCACATGCAAGACCAGCTAACTCCATCAACTGTTCGACCTTGAATCCATACTTTGAAAACAGCTCCTTATCAATAGTCGACGCTTCATCTTGTCTGGAAATAACAGGATTCATGGGCAAAGTCGCCATTTTTCTTGTGAAACTTTATGAATATGAATATTCAGTGAATAGCAAACCAGAAGACAATCTACAACTTTGACTAGGGATTGTCATTACTAGCATCATAATTTTAACTTATTATTTACTGTCTACTCTTTCTAACGGCAGGGTATATATTACGAAATATAACTTCTATGATACTGAGATATTTGCAAAACTCCGGAACGCAGGTGTCTGCGATAGGAAACGAACGCGCATTATCCTTTCAGGGAAGTAACGTGTTCACCACCACACCATGCGGGTCCTTCGTTTCGCCTGTCTCTCAGCTATTTCTATCGATCTTTTTGCCACAGCAATCATTCGTCAGCAAGGTTGTCCTGGGGAGCGCAAATCGGCATAGAACCCAGTTAAGCTGTGGCTGTAGTTGAAATCATAATGTTTAACTTCGTATTTTTGTTGAGCAAACGCGAGGTGTTATTATTCTTTGTTCACGATTAAGCTGACGTTTCGGCGGATTTCGCCTTCCTCAGAGCCGCTTCCTATGAGGTTTCCACTAAGTATGTCCATAATGTTTAACGTCTTGTTTTCTGCCTTCTATAATTTTCATGGCAGGTTACTAAGCGAAATACAACCACAACGTTGCTGAGATATTTGCAAAACTCTGGACCGCAGGTGTCTATGGTGGGGAACGAGCGCGCTATTGTCCTTTCCGGGGAGTAACGCGTTCACCACCACACCATGCGGGTCCTTCGTTTCGCCTGTCTCTCAGTTATTTCTATCGATCTTTTTGGGGCGAAAACCCCCGCTCCAGTGGCTCACCAAGCCCTCCATCCCTCGGAGGTCGGAAATTGGCACCATACTTGTCTGCGTGGACAGGAGCACTGGCTCGATACAACGGTAGGCCGCTGCGAGTCATTTTAAAGGCCAGATAAGCATTCATCCGCCTCCTACGTTGGATAGTGAAGTCGAATGCATGGCGCAGACCTCAGGCATTGATCAGCGCCAAGAGCTTTATCCTTTTTTAACGTTATAGTTACTGTTTAGCTCTATTGTGTAACTATACATGGTACCAAACTGTAATATGTTTCAGCTTCGCTGCATTAAAAACTATCTGGTCACTCATATTCTGGGCGGTCTTCTTTTCACTCACGTTGGACCTAATTGAAACACACTGAATCGAACAACGCAAAACAGTGAATATATCGTTCTACTATAACCCATATTTCTTTACAACATAACAGCCACAAACAGAACCACAAAGTCATAGTTGACATATGCCTGAAAACGCCCTAAACAACGACTCATTTAAACTTTCTAAGAAGTTCGAAGGTACTGTCACATAATAGGATTTTAATGAAGTACTTGTATAAAGACCACACAGCAGCAGCACGTCTAAAGACAGTTTCAGAACGGTACTACCAGGCACTCAGGTACAGACACAAGACACAAAGCTTCACTTCAAACGAACTAATAGACAATATGAGCAACCTTCTGATACTAAGCGCCGTTAACGATTTCGCAAAAATCATGAAAATTCCGACCACCTCACCTCAAATACGTCACTTCCTTTCTCGATATTATTGGCACCGACGTCATCGTCAGCAATTTCACAGCACTACGATGTAAGGAATACCGAATCGACTTTGTCACCACGCACATAGAACGATCGTCAACGAAACATCCTGTTACTGAGTATATTATGCTCTACGGACATAATCATGCTATATAGCCAAGAAATTTAAATTTTCCACGTGTTGATGTGCAGGTTATCGAAAAAAGGCGCGAATCGCCGAGCTCAAACAGTTACGATTTTCTCTCTCCGAAGAGTGCGTGTGATGGCTGATATCTCTCGCGTGCACTCTCTTTCTCTGCATCAGAGTGGTGCTCTCCGCCGAAGATGTGGTCTGTCGGCTGTCACGCAATGCTCTGGCACTCGTTCGTCGGCGCGTATCGAGCCTGTCGTCGCCGCATCGTCGGCCATCACCATCGTTACTGGTTACTGGATTGATGACACCGTTCATCTGACCCATTCCTGGATGCCATAATGTTCTCCGGGAGTCCAGACACTGGGCACGTTCAGTCGTTCTGTTCCCACAGCCTCTTTCTTCCCATTCCAGTCGTTTCCCATTTCATGCTCCCAATCTCGGTGTGCTTGTAACCATATCACCGCCAGAATCGGTGACTCCTTTTTGAGGAAGACAATGAATGTTGGCAGTATGGGAACACGGCTCAGGAAGAACTGCTTGTTTTAGTAAAGTCTTGAACGAGTCAGAATTTGATCGTGGCTTCGAGCCGCTAACTTATCGATTTCGATTGAATGGACTGACTGATTGATCCTATGAACTCACAACATCTGGTAATGTTGTTTCCTGAGCAATTTCAATAGTAGAAAAATTAGATTCGGTGATTGAATAATCAATGCTTAGTGTTTTTGCTTGGTTTTGTGCTGAGATGAAAGCGTACGAATCGAGCTTCGTAATGTTTGCGTGTGGAAATCTACTATGGTTTGGAAAAAACACATATTCTAGCCCTAAGTAATCATGATGTGGGCTGTCTTTCCCTACTGAGCTCAGTACCGTTTTGTGTTTTCACTCTTGCATCATCTTCGCATGCGTTTGACGTGGATCCGAATTGCGTTGTCTGAACATAAAGATACATGTAGATAAGGTTTTTGTTCAATGTAATACGTCATAATTAAGGTAATAAAAAGTCCGTCATAAGGTCCGTCAGTAATTTGATGGCCACAGGAAGGACGTTAGTAACCGCCCGAATTGCTGTCAATACATTGCCAGTTTTTCCCTTTTTTTTGTAGATAGGAGCTATTCTGGGGTTAGAACAACCCTTTTCATTTAGTGGTAGTTCTATTGAGCAATGCTCAGATTTTCACATATCTCTGTTCTTTGTTGACGTGCGGTTGGTTAGATTCTTTCATTCATTACTTTCATTTCTTATACGTTTTTTTAGTTTTCGTCTATGTGTTTGGTAATTTTTGTCTTAGATCGTTTTTCTCTGCTCTTATTTCGAAAATGCGATGTTCTATTTTTATCCGACATTGTTACGCGACCTCGTCCAACGGTTTACCACCTCATCGTGGCTAGGTGTTCATGTGTGTCGGGCTGTGATTTACAGCAGAGGGATTCATCCCCATGGAAGGGTCTCCCTAGCTAAGAAGGAGTCCGGCGTTATCATCAGGAAACCTAGCTAGGAGTAAACCAATAGCAAGATCCACCACCGTCCTGGTATCAAATTCGCATAGTGGCAAATCCCCACTGTTCCACAAGGGCTGCGACTGCCTATGGTGGTGAGGACCTGGGCAGATTTTGCCCAGGCTGACCTCGGGACTCCAGAGAACCACAATGGCTTAACCAGCAAATCTCCTAAAAATGGAGGTTATGCTGGGGCCCACACAACCAGTGAAGACGGGTTATTCAAGTTTCAAGCAAATAAGTTACACGAACACCTGTCAGAGTTGTTGGTTTTTGTTCTAGTTAACTTCCTTACATGTATGCTTAGATAGTCCTTTTTCAAGAGTACTGAGGATCACAGCACAATTTCTATTCATTCCTTCGTTTGGTGACTGACTAGTTAACTTCCTGTCTTAAATTTACATGGTTCTAAGCTTTACCTGCGATTTTTCGGTATCGTGTAAAATGCGGCAACGGCAGGCCTATTTACGCGCCGTACTGTGCAGTACTTACTGCACAGAACTGTTACAGTATTCCATTGAACACTAAGTGTTCCACGTTTGATCAATGATCTCTTCCTTATTTTGTTCAAGGACTCGTCATTCTTCTTATGAAAGCGCTCTTTGATGCCATCGAGCGCGTTCAGGCCCGTCATTCTATAGCTCTGCACCATCGTTTTTCGTGTAATTATAAATCTTACCTGTAGACTTAGTCGTCCAATTGTCTTTCTAATATTTCATCTATACTTTACCGTTACTGGTTTCTGTTCTTTGTCGTTTAGTGCTGGATTTTTAGGTTTTAAGATTCCTTTGTAACAATTTTCAGCTAGAAATTTGTTTTCTGATTGGAGATGGAGTTTTCAAGCATGAGAATCGTCTGCTAAGTATATTTTAACTGTTTTAGTGAATACGACATCGGCGTGGCGGCTGTAGCTGATCAGCCAAATCGCCATTCCCATAGCTGATTCCATCAAGGCTACACTTAGAGATTTCGGAAGAGAGTGGATATCCCTGGTTTTGTTGAAGTGTGTGCTACCTACTACCGTTAATTTATACTTTTGTTCCTTTGTCTATATAGTGATGAGATTAAATTGAATGCTTTGGTGGGTTTTACTTCAAGTCAGTGGGTATTCTCCATACCTGTGTACCAGCTTTTTTAAAACAGGTAACATCGATTCTTTAAGGTGCCATGAATAAGCAGTTATTATCCTGTTCTCTGAAAGGCGGTAGGCAAACCACTACGGTGGTTGCATCCGTTGCTACAGATGGTGTTGATCAGCAGGTGGGGTTTTTTTGGATTTAGTCTTAGAAATAGGAATGATTAGCCTGCTAAAACTGGATTAATTGCTTCTTGACGCTTGTTTTTTCTTTCTTCATAAATTAGGGTATTTTTGGCCGTTAAGTGTGAAGAAATTTATCTGGTATTACCAAAATAGTGATTTAGGTGGAAGTGTCATATTGTGATCAGAAAGTTGTTGGTAATGGATCGTTTGGTGTGGTATTCCTAGCGAAGCTGCAAGATACTAATGAGTCCGTTGCGATCAAGAAGGTTCTCCAAGACAAACGATTTAAGAATCGGGAACTTCAGATAATGCGAAAGCTTTCACATCCCAACATAGTTAAACTCAAGTAAGTTGTCTGATGTTGATTCCCAAAGTGTTTTTTTTTTCATGTCGTTAGTAGCACAGATTATCACTGGGGAGGCAATCATATTTGTCTGCACATCAATTTTTTGATGTTTTCCAGATACTTTTTCTATTCGGGTGGTGAGAAGAAAGATGAATTGTATTTGAATTTGATATTGGAATATGTTCCAGAAACTGTGTACAGGTATCGTCTCGGTACTCATTCTTGTTTTTTTTTTTGTTCATTTCATTCTTTTAAAGCAATTTTTTCCGTATATCCATAGAAATTGATTGATCTCATTCACTAAGCTGACAGCGTAGCATTTCAGAGTAGCTCGCCATTACTCGAAGCAACGACAATCTATTCCTTTAATATATGTGAAGTTATATATGTATCAAGTAAGTCGGAGCGGCGTTATTTTTTTTCTACAAATGTTTTTGCCACTGCTAGTGCTGCAGGGTAGCAGCACCAGATTTGTGCTCTTCCAGAGATGTTCCATGAATAAGTCTGCATTGGGCATCCATGCATCAACCTATTCGTGATTGCTCGTTTTTCTTCTTTCAGTTCCATTGACGCTATTTTGTTTACATGTATTAGGTTCTATTCGCAAACTACAGTATGTCTGATCTGTTATAGTATCAAAAAATTCCACATTCTTCTTATGAAGTTTTCCTAGTACGGTTAGGTTTTCGGAATGTATTATGCTTAGTTACTTAGATATTTGAATGGCCCGTCCTCACTGATAGTGTGAGCCCCAGCATAATTTCCATTTTTCGGAGTTTTGCTGGTTTAGCCATTGTGGTTCCCTGGTGTCTCGAGGTCGGCCTAGCCAAAGTCTGCCACAGGTCGTCATCACCACAGACAGTCGCCGCCCTTGTGAGTCAGAGGGAGATTTGCCACCATGCGACTTTGATACCAAGACGGTGGTGAATCCAGGTATTGGTTTACTCTTAGCTGGGCTTCCTCATGGAAACGTCGGACTCCTTCTCGGCTTGGGAGACTCTGCCGGGGGGACGAATTCCCCGCTGTTTATCGCAATCCAACACCCAGGAACACCTCCCAGCCACGATGAGGCGGTAAACCGTTAGGACGGGAATGTACTACATTTGCCATAAAGTTTTTCTTTATTACTAGCTATTTTTGGATTAAATTATACACTTAAGTTTAATGTTTTGTTTTCTGCCTTCTATAATTTTCATGGTAGGTTACTAAGCGAAATACAACCACAACGTTGCTGAGATATTTGCAAAACTCTGGACCGCAGGTGTTTATGTTGGGGAACGAACGCGCTATTGTCCTTTCCGGGGAGTAACGCGTTCACCACCACACCATGCGGGTCCTTCGTTTCGCCTGTCTCTCAGCTATTTCTATCGATCTTTTTGCCACAGCAATCACCCGTCAGCGGGGTTGATCTCGTTCCCCACCATAGACACCTGCGGTCCAGAGTTTTGCAAATATCTCAGGAACGTTGTGGTTATACACTTAAGATTGAGTAGAAGCTAGTGAGGGTTAGTGTCGTTGGTATTTTTTCTGTAGGTACACTTTCGGTGAGCTTTCTTTTGTGTAATTCGGTGCTGAAGCAAATTTTCTCCTTATCTCATCATGTTGTGATTAAAACAATAAGCTCATCGTTTTTGCTTGCACTTCATCAAGAATCGATGGCATTTTGAGTCTACCTTCCTGGCAACTCTTACGTCCCCGTTATTCCAATTTTGGTGCTTTCCCATCATTGTCTTTGACCATGTACTTGTTTCTTTCCCACGCCTCTCCGTACTTCGTTTTTGTGTGACAGTCAATCTTACTTTAAAATTCTCCATATCTGCCTACGCCGACAAGCACTAATTATTTGCATTCAATGATCTTTTTTATAGGTACTTTTTAGATATTCGTCGTGCATAATTTTCCAGTTAAATGTTTTCCTACACCGTGATAGTCGTTAAGCCAATATTAAATGGCTTATACTTCGGGAAATTCAACGCAACCGTTAAGAACTTCCATTGCGCTATATTTTTATTTTATTGTATCCAATGCTTTACTTTGCTGTTGAAGGACTTGCTCAACGATTACTGTAATGTCTTGGATTTTGATCACTAATGATCATCCATCACTTCTTACTCTTTCCTCTGAAAAAAGGGTTAGAACTAGTTTAAAGAGATATAAATGTAGATGTCAGATGTGTAAGATATAATTGAGAATTGTGTGTTTTGTATTAGTATTGGTTTCTAGAAAATTGCAAAACATGCTTTTTCTCTTAACGTCAGTAATTTGGAAGGAAAAGTGTCACCACTTTTTGAGTTATTCCAGTTTTTCAGGAAAACACAGTTCTTGTCTAAATAATGTAAAATGTTTCATTATAGCTGTTTCGAGCTCTAGCTTATATTCACGGAATCGGAATTTGTCATCGAGATATCAAGCCACAGAATCTGCTTATTGATCCTGAGTCGGGAATTCTGAAGCTGTGTGATTTTGGCTCAGCGAAGTACTTAGTAAAGGTTTGTAGATCAAGATGTCTAGGATGGTGTTCTGAATATTTTTTCCAATCGTTTGTATAGGGAGAACCAAATGTGTCATACATCTGCTCTCGGTATTATCGCGCTCCGGAGCTCATTTTTGGAGCCACGAATTACACTAACTCTATCGATGTTTGGTCGGCTGGAACGGTAATGGCAGAGCTTCTGCTTGGGCAGCCTATCTTTCCAGGAGACTCTGGTGTTGACCAACTTGTCGAAATTATAAAGGTACAGGACTGAAGTCTCTTGCGGCTAGATCATTCTTCAATTTCACATTTCAGGTTCTCGGTACGCCAACAAAAGAGCAAATTCAGAGCATGAACCCTAACTACAAAGAGTTCAAGTTCCCTCAGATTAAGGCGCATCCATGGGCAAAGGTATGCCAAAGGGAATGTGAAATTTGTAACAAATATGTTACCCATGATTGATACTAATGTCCATCTAAAGTCGGAAGTTTGTACCACTTGCAATACAGAAAGCGAGCTAGTAGTCGTACTGCTTTTTACTGAAATCAATGACAGAGTTCTTGTGTGCTGGGTGTGGGAAACCATACGATGTCAGATCTGGGAAGCGCCTTTATACCTTTATGAAGTCTTACTTGGTATCGTTGGTAATCCATTTACGAATCTCGTACTAACTCTCACCTAAGTGTTGTTAACGGAATGCATTCAAAATTTAGCATTTTTTTTCCAAACTTTTGTTTAGGTGTTTCGTGCAAGTACACCACAAGAAGCTATTGATCTTATCTCGACAATTATCGAGTATACTCCGAGTGCCCGGCCAACGCCGCAACAAGTAAGCCACAATCATTTAAAAAGCTTTCTTTCCATCGTTTTCGGTAACGTTCATTTGCGATTCCGAATCAAATCTGTTTGAGGCGTGTCTACATGCATTTTTTGACGAACTGCGAATGCCTGATACGAAACTTCCATCTGGTCGTCCACTACCTCCTTTAGAAATGGATGGAGATGACAATCGCGCAGGTCATGCAGGAACTGATGCTGCTCCGGCGGAGTAAATCAGTATTGTGTATTTGTGTGTAAATCTCCTGGTGTACCTCATGCATCTTACACTACGTGCTATTGAGTAACTGAGTTCGGTCCAGTTCTTATGCACTCTGTCGACGTTCGGATTCGTGATGAGTCTTTTTTTTATACCACAGAGTTGGCGCGAATTAACACTAGCATACCGTTGCCTCGTGTCGCTTCTCCATCCCTTTCTTCACACTTATCTCAAATCCCGATGAATCGTCTTGTATGTCATTGTGGCTTGCACTCATGTGGGTGTAGCGACTTACATACTCTTGTACATTTATATTTTTGTCTTGTTTTTTTCCTTTCCATCCTTATTCCAACCTTTCAAAGAATTGTCCATGGACATTTGCAAATCACGTAGTTTAACTGTTTGATTTGTGTCGAAGAACGAGCAGCAATAGCAGTCGTCACTGAGCATATTTTCCAAATCGTATGCCCTCGAAACATTAGTGTATATAAAAATGGATTGCTTTCCTTGATCGAGTTACCACATCATCATACGCATAAATACATCCACGTTTACGTGCGTATCATATTCGTTTATCTTTTAATTTATAGCGATTCTTTTTTCTTTGGAGTCTCGTCCATGTTCTTGCATCGTTATTACTATTTACGCGGTGAAATGCTCCATACTCAACCATCCCTGTTCATATTTCGTTCATTATTAGCTGTTGTTCCATGCAGTGGTGGTGGTGTGAGCTACTCCCAGCTTCCAAAGACTTCATTTTTATTTAGAGCGTTAGAAAATTTCCTCCAATTGTCCCGAAAGGTCATGAGTGTAGCTATGTCGTGTATGATTGGCTCATAAACATTAAATACATTGAGGCATTGATTTGAACAGATTTCACCACGCATAGGTGCATGTGATTCTCGTGATAAAATCTGTGGTGTGTTGCGGTTCTAGACGTTTTGTTGAAAAAAAAAAGTGAAAAAACCTCAAGTTGTTCTGTTTAGTTGCTTTTACTTCAATCCTTCAATAAAGTTCCTACTACTTTGTTTCATTCATTCGCGCAAAGATATGTGCTGATTGCTATAACAATGTATGTATATAACACACAGGTCGTTCATTGAACATGTTGAAAAGAAGCCGAACAGCAAAAGCTACGTCCTGACCTCCGTGAAAAGGCATCGACCAACAGACCGATGTGAAATGTCGCTCGTCGCTCTTACTCTGCTGTGCTCTCAGCGTTCTGTTGTGAAGCTTATTGATGTCTTGAAGTATCGATGACGAGCACATATACACACACTCACACGTACGGGCGGAACTATGCAGTTCAGACTTTCGAAAATTACCTCAGGGACAATGTGCGCCGAATCCGAAGAATAGGTGGTCCAATTATGTAGTAAGAAGCGTTAACGACAAATATTACAGGAAAGACGGTAGATGGGACTCCAATGGAATGAATACATCATGTGGTGACAATCTATGTAGATGGACATATTATTAGCTCACAACTAGATATAGTCATAGCTGGGAACGATTTATGGATCACGCGAATGTGCTAGGGCTGCATGTGCAGAAGGCATCAAAGTAGGGGAATAGTTTTCTGGTATCCAAACTCCCCATGCCAGCAGACCGAAGCTTCATTCTCAACCCAAAATCCAGTTGGAGATGTTTAGATGTTGTATTGCACTTTTCAGTTGTTTTTACTAGGACGCTGTTTTCACTTCTCACCGAAATTCTGGATGTGCATACTATGCAGGACATGTGTAATGGAAAAAGTATGTAGACGGAGCGGTTTCGTGGGTACCCGTGTTCATCATTATTTCCGCCCTCTGGTACGGATGTGAAGGTTGCAAGATTTTCCCGGTTCTATTAATCTTTCAGTTGGGTTCCTCATTAAGGAGGTGATTAATAGTCAGAGCTTAAGCTCAACTGGATTCAATGTGGATGTGGGCTCCCCAGATCAATCCCGTTGACGGGTGATTGCTAATGGCACACACTGATCGATAGAGAATTGGTTAAGAGACAGGTGAAATGAAGAACCCGCATGGTGAGGTGGTGAACGTGTTAGTTACCGGAAAGGCTAATAGCGCGTTCGGTCACCACCGCAGACATCTGCGGTTCAGAGTTTTGCAGATATCTCAGCATCATTGCGGTTGTATATTCAGTAAGCATTTTCAGCAAGAGCTGAACTTGGAAGAGATTTACAACCGAAAATGGTTTTTAAACAAAATATTGATTTCACATATAGAATATGGCGGCTCACTTTATTGGACCCTGTTGCAAATGTCGCTTGAAATTTGACATTCACCAGAGTGATGGTCAACTTCGTGATGTGCAGTTCCGTCCGAGTTGTAGTGATTTTTCGCTAAACTGTTGGGTTTTCTGGATTATGAAATGACTGAAAGATCGTTCAACTTGGTGTTCGGTGTTTCGAAGAGGATTCGTCTAAAATTGTAGTCACTTTTTATTTCCTGCATATTCTTTTTTCATGGTTTAACGCCGATTTTTGCTCTACAGATCAATTTCGTTGACAGATGATTCCTGATGTTAGCGGTTCATAGAAAACTAGCTGAGAGACAGGCGAAACGAAGGACCGGCATGGTGTGGTAGTGAACACGTTAGCCGCCGGATGGTAATAATGGGTGCGATCCCCCGCAGACACCTGCGGTCCGGAGTTCTGCAAATATCTTAGCATCGTTGTGGCTAAATTCCTCTAACATACTGTTGGCTTTGGAATGATGAAGAGCTTGGATCACCTAAAACTAAACGGTTTATGGTACCTTGCTTACCATATTGGGTTGGACCGTATCAGAACCACTCCTTTGAAGGTCGTTGTAATAGGCTTGAGCAAGTTTTATTTCCCTTCCCAGTGGTTTCTTATCGTGGGTGTGAATCTTCCTGGGTACTGAGCTATGATGTATAGCAGAACTCCATCCTCCAGCAGGCCCTTCCAACCTAAGAGGAGCACGACATGCACATTTTCACCCTACAGATCGGCTAAGAATAAACTAGTGCTAGGAATCAGTGCCATCTCGCAAAGAAAAAGCCACTTGTTAGCAAATCGCGATGTTCTGAGAAGGCTCTAGGACGCATTTCGACACTATAGGACATGAAAATATTGCTAAACTAATGAATCTCTTACAGAGGCTACTCTCTATCTCGTACAGAATAGTCCCTACCTCTTAGAGAATATTCTCATCTCCTCATATTACTGTATGCTTCTTATCTCAGTAGTACATTGTTCCACTGTTGTTTAATGTATAACGGAACCACGCACCTTGCATTAGCTGAAAAATTCTTATTACCAACGTTAACATTCCCTTGCTTTGCAGTTGATCGAAAAACGATCTGTGATGTAGTGTGTTAACACCCGCACACTCGCAAAAATACTGATTGGAAAAGTGACACCGACTCCAGGAATAACCACATTCAGACGTGGAAGTCGCCATCTGTCTGTGAAATCACCAATGTTTTTTATCCGATCTTTTCGACTCGCCCCTTTCTTGAATAGTTTAAATCCCACTACTCTCGTCTAAAGGTACTAATAGTTCAGCATCATTGACGTATTTATGTTATTCTTAGTCCTCATATACCCACTGTACAATGTTAAGCCGGTTACCTTACTACTGTTGTAATATTCATATGTAAAGGTTTCATTGCCAAAGTTTGAGATTCGAACCACGGAAACAAGAAGTGCCGCGTGCCAATCATGGGAGGATGAGTATTCACTGCTAAACTAAGTTGAATATTCTGACTGAAAATGTTCTGGAGTCCCCACCATACTTCCTGATTCGTGAAGACGGGCCATCCAGATGTTAAGCTATCCAAATTTTAAAACTAAATTGATGCGAAGATAATGCTGAGATATTGGAAAAACTCCGGACCACAGGTGTCTGCGGTGGGGAACGAACACGTTATTGTCCTTTCCGGCGAGTAACGCCTTCACCACCACACCATGCGGGTCCTTCATTTCGCCTGTTTCTCAACTAGTTCTATTGATCGGTGCCATCAGCACCATAGAACTAGCTGAGAAACAGGCGAAACGAAGGACCCGCATGGTGTGGTGATGAACGTGTTACTCCCCGGAAAGGCCAATAGCGCGTTCGTTCCCCACCGCAGACACCTGCGGTCCGGAGTTTTGCCAATATCTCAGCATTATCTTAGTTGTATTTCACATCATACCCTGCCGTTAAAAATTGTAGTAGTCAGTTAATAAAAAAGGTTTAAATTGATGCTAATTGCGTTTATGGCTTCAATACAAATATAAAAAATGCGGAAGTCCCAATACATGCTCTCAAAGATTCCAAGCTACGTTTGAAATAAGAGGTAACACAGAGTTGTGGAAAAGAGGAAAAATATGAGGAAAGAATATTAAAGCGAGTCTTGTGAGACTAGATTGTACACATGCAGAACATCTGTTGTGAAAAAATAAATACATTACATAGAAATAGGAGACGGCGTATAACTGACAACACTTGCCCTAGCATTAACACTATGAAACACCCAAAACATTTTAAGCTGATATTTTACAAACGAAATCTTAAAAACTAACACAGTAAATGAAAAGATATAACCGGTTATCCAAATAAATATCGCACTAAAACAGTTACCGCACACCTTCCCAACCAAAGTATAAACCATCAGGAGTGTCTCTACTACTCCATTCCTTTTCCAACTGACTGCGTAAAGGATTGGGTAGACTGGAAAGCGAACATTTCTTCTCATTGTAAAGGGACCGTAGTCGATCTGCACAGAGTGTATACAGACGGGATGGCATACGAGGACCGGAGAACACGACTCGAACCTAAATAAAGTTTGCACTCCATTTTCCAGAATAGATACAAATGTTTAGAATCTTCCGTTCAATGTGCAAACTTGAAGGCTCATCTTTAATGTTAAATATTGAACATTTCGGTGAAAATGTGGTAGGCGAGCCAAAATAGTCTTTGCCAACTGGTTAACATTTTTTGTCTCATAAGGTTGATATAAAGAAACACTAGGAAGCAACCTCTTTCGTGCTACCGAAGACATCAACAACGGCAAAGAATGGTTGATCGGAAGGAATTCTGCCAAAATCTGGGCATATATCGAAACCGTTCAACACCACGTGTATCCTACAACACAACAGAAGTATAGTGCAAAAAAATGTGGTACCTCAAGTGAAGTAGAGGAGTGGGCTGTGACAAATGGATATGGAAAGACTAGGAATTAAATATAGTTACCGAGGAGTTCCCATGCTCCTTTCATAATAAACACCGATCAACGATCCTTTTTCTGTTGGAAGAGATCGAACAGATATGGGATTTTGCAATGGAACGATGAACGGGGATATTGAGAAAAGCCACGAATTTGAGTCTAGATTCCTGGAAAGCACATTATGATGATGGTGCCTTACAACGCAGAAACAAGTAGAAAAAGCACTTGCTTCTATATAGACATATCAAAGCCAACACCAAAATAAAACATTGAAACAAGACCTGACAGACGGCCTTGTATCAGGATCAACAGTTGTCAATCCAATCCTTAAATGACCGGACCAGCCTCCTTCCACGTTTTCAATTGATACAAAGAAACATTCGCCTTCAAGAAGAGCGCGCTCAGAAAAAACAATACCCTAAAAACACGTTCAGAACGTAAAACGGATATATAGGATAAAACTACTCTTACTAACAAAAACACTTCACGTCACAACACAACCAACAGTTTTTCTTTCTATTTTGGACCCACCTTTTCAAAACTAACACGTCGAAGCGCCCGTCTTCTGTGCTCTAAAAGCTCAATATTTTCACCATGAAACGGATGAAATAGCACTGGTGAAGCAACAAATCTTTGAGAATCAGCTGATGTTGAGGGCTGCATACGCGTATAAAAACTACCTGTAAAGAAAAGATAGAGCGATAAACAACAAAATAAAAACGATCATGTACAGCGCCCCTGCGTAATAGACGAAGGTTTCAAGTAAAAAGGCCAAGAAACCTCCCGGGTTCTTGTGGAAAATCTTGGAATCAAATATATACTCGCATGGTAACTATTGCCTGAAGAGTTCCAAACTTCTATATTACTTTATGTTTCCTACGCTAACTGTGTTCAGTGTTAGATGTTTACCCTTGCCCAATAAGCTACATTTCTACCACTGGATCACTTTCGCATCAATTTTCCGTAATAGCTATTGTATCGCTTACACATGAACCATCTGTACGAGCTGTTCCTCGTGTTAACGAAGCTTCTTGTTTACCGTCCTATCCGAGGTACTTTTCCGTACGTACCCTGTCATGCTTTCAAGCAGCTCTTTCAGATTGTACTGAGTGAGAAACATTCTAGAATGTCCCTCCGAGCACTAACTCTAGTTTTTTTCTACACACCGCCTATCACAGAAATATTTACGCATCAGCATCATTAATGACCTCTCAATTGGCTCAAATAGTGCTCTTATAGTCCCCATCTTCTTGCCTTCTCGTTTGACGTAGTAGAGCTCGAGCGCCGAGCTTCCCATTAGCATAAACTACTTTAACCTCAGTTGTATGTTATGTCTCAGTTCTTCCTCAGTTCTTGCTACAGTTATTCGTCATATTACTTCTCCAGCCTTTCACTTCACATAAGATAATTTCACTGCTAACCATTTGGTCTCATCTTCTTTTGCGCCGTTATTTCTAGAATACTTGGTTGAGTTGTGTTTTATTTGGAACTTTCTTCCCCTATTATATCACCAATCTATTACAGAATTAACTCTTTTATTTTCAATGCAACTTCGTGGTCATTCATTATCTCTGGTAGTGGATTCCATTGTCATCCTGGCGCTTAGACTCTTTACATTTCTTAATGTCGTCATATCGTTATTAAAGTATTATTACTATTGTTATAAACGAACTAAGTGACTGGACTCCTCTGAATGTCAAGTATACTGCAGGAAGACCACCGCCCCGATGGTCAGAGTTCTTCATGAAAACCCTGAAAAAAAGGCATGATGCTCAACAATTCGCTAGAGTAAACAGAAACCACTGGACTATTCATGCGCGCGATGGGGAAAAGTGGAAGATTTATTAGCGCCCGATCATTCACTCGACGATCAACGGGACTACAGGTGATACAGACGATGAAGGTTATAAACGTTTTAATTACCCAGATTTGAGATATTGCTCCGCAGTAACATGGACAAGCGCTGAACGTAAAATTCCTACGAATTTGAGCATTCGAGTTAGTGATTAATCGGTGCCCAGAATTGACTAGAAGACCTATCTTCCACTGGCAACGGCTATAGTCTGCCTTGACCTTTGCAGCTATTATAAACTATCAAATTGATAAGCACATGATCCAACTTTTCCTACAAACATCGCAAGCAATTACTCCAATAGTCACTTATCGTACTAATCCAACAATGCAAGACGAAATGTAGAACCAATGTGGAAACATTCAGCGGACTGATTACTCAATACTTATAATCCGATGCCTACGTGTGGTTCCCGAATTCGACAATCCGACTAAAGTTTACTTTTTCGCAGCGCTACTGATGAACTAATATCAATTTAAGTCGGTCGGTTTAGTCGGTCGAAAATCTGAACGGTAATCACACGATCCACATCTTTCTGTTTGTCCTGTTGAAACGGTAACTAGTAAAATACGTATCGGTGTATCCTTTCAGACTCTGAAGAAGGCGATACTGCCAAAATGTCAGCTACTGTTGTGTTGTATGTGTTATTTGCACGGAAGTAAACGTGTGCTGTATAACAAAACAACACGATTGGTCACCTACCGTCTCAGACAAAACTAGTAACAAATTGCCTACCTCGGAGTGAGTGAAAGTTCGATGAGCCCAAGGCGTACAATTGAAGCACCACGTGCGTTCTGCACGGCACCTCCGTGCCTTTCTGCAGTGGAGATAGAACTCGTTATTACTCTTTCAGGGAACTAAAATATTCACCTTGTTTCGCCTTTTTTCAGTTGTGTTAATCTCTATGTGCTATCAACGATTACTTGTCAACGGAATTGCTCTAAGGAGCACAAATCGGCCTTAAACCCAGTTAAGCTGAAGCTCGATCCCCGCCGCAGACACCCGCGATCCGGACTTTTGTAAATGTCTTAGCATCATTGTAGTTATATTTCACATCATACCCTGCCATGAAAAAAGAATAAGCAGTAAATAAAATGTGACTACTGATCATTCTATTTGTTACTGAACTTTTTGCGTAACAGATATTTCCATTAGATCAATATTCTACATGGAATCAGACGACCACCATCTCGTTAGTGTGATATTATTCATTTCACAGAGAAGACAGAAAGTAGTAAAATTCTCAAGACGAGATCCCAAAACCATCGCAAACTGAGACTAGCGAATTCGAGAGAAGGAACAAATGGAAGTTGCATTAGAACACCCTGGATTAGTAAAGCACATATGTATTCAACAACCAATCACTTTACACAAGTCTCTAATAATGGATAACGCTACAGTAAATACAGTCCATTTTACAGAGACCTATCTTTCAGTTACTCAAAAGACCAATTTTCTGTAAATCTCGACGTAAATAGTCGATATATTTATTTATATGTTCTTATGAACAGACCTTCTTGTTGAGCTGATCCGAGGTTGGTAGAAGTTGTTGTTGATGTTGTTCGTCGATGGCTGACGTTTCGGCGATTTCGCCTTCCTCAGAGTCTGAACGTATTTTATGTAACAACAGTATGAAGATCTAACATATAAAGGAACAGCATATTGACCAAAGAGTAACCGTGATGTTGCGAGTGATTTTTTTGACATAGGTGGGCCTCATTAGTTATCCCGCGTGAACAACACGGGTAGTCCCACTCACAACACCACGGTGAATAGTTTTTGATCAACGCAGCGTCCATTTGTGTGTTATCTTTTCATTAATACTTTAGGCTTATTCACCGAACTGTAAAACTATTATTGCATAAAGGCGGAATCGAGGCGAAATCTCTGAGGAAGGCGAAATCGCCGAAACGTCGGCCATCGAGAAACAACAACAAGGACAACGACAACAACAGCAACAGCTTATACCAACTTCGCATCAGTTCAACAAAATCAGTTCACAAGAAGATATAAATAAACACATCTTTTAATACAACCATAAGCATGCTGAGATATGAGGAAAACTCGGAACCTCTAGTGGGCTTAGAATCCTTGTTTTCTTCTCCCCAAATCATACCCGTTACGGATGATCGCTGATAGAATCGATGGAGTAAAAAATAGGCTGAGAGAAAGGCAAAGTAAAGGGAGTAAAGCTGGCGTCGTGGATAGCACGAGAGCTCCCGCTAATTGCGGGTTCGAAAACAGAGCTTAGTTCCAACTTTTACTCATATCTTAGCATCCTTGTGTTTTAGTTCTCATCGTACCTTGCTATGAAATAAGAATAAGCAGTAAAAGAAATTAAAACAACTTTCAATAATCTAGATAACGATTAAAGCCTACCCTCCTATTTTAGATACTAACCAAAGAAACTCAGATCACATGGCCAAGTAAGTAAGAATGGTCTACCTATTCGAACATTTGGAAACTTGAATCGTATATCTTCGTGAATAATCCAGACGACAGACTCCTTTTGACACAAATTTCTTTGTATGATAGAGTCCTCTCCCATGGAGTGCCAAGATAATCACACCAAAGCATTTCGAATCTGTGGTTCGAGGATCCCCCTCTTGGTTCTATTGTGTACAACCACTAAGTTCTATGCAGGGCCCCAATAAGTTTTTAACACAGGTTTCGACATGATTTTAGACGGAAACGTAACGTTTCGTTCTAAGTCTGGATGACACCGACAGATGATGAACCGCCTATTATAAGTCGGAGTGCATAATTTCACGCTGCCACGATGAGGCGTTAAACCATTGAGATGACAGAAAAGGTTCCAAATAGGGATCAAACAAAGAAAATCAGAATTCTAGAAGCTACTGATTTCTGCTGTAGTCCATGCCAGCAATATTGATTATCTACTGAAACACAACGTCAAAATTGAAAAACTGGACGTTTCAAAAATCACTATGATGCCGAGACATTTGCAAAACTTGAATCCCAGGCCAGATTCGAACCCGCGATTATCTCTCCTAGAGGGCTTCAATTGTGCAGTAGGTAACACGTAAGCCACCAAAAAGGGTAACCGCGGTTTGATCTGGCCCTTGATCCAAGTTTTGCGAATATCTCAACATCAAAGTGATTTTATTTCACATCTTACGCTACTCTGTAAAAAATGGGGAGTAGATAAAAGGTTAACTTTGTGGTTTCAAAAACAATTAGCACTACAAATGATTAAAAAATATGAATAGGAAAGACGCATATAAACATGGATAGGCAAACAACAACATGTAAACATAACAAAAATGTATAGAAAAGAAGGATACAAGTATATTTTGCTCAAAGAAATGGATAAAGCCAGTGGATATGGGCAAGGACAACCAGCGCCATGGAAAATGCGCGCTCGCTCAGAGGTCCACATCAATCGATCGCTATGGAAACCCAGACAACGTAGCGAATCATGTAAGCACCAAAGCACTAATAACATAAGACAGAATGGATACTTTACTTTAAGTTAAAGTGATATCAAAACCTTACTAGATCAATAAATCAATGACAGCTATGGGGAATGTAGGAACTTGTAAGGAAGCAAAGAATTATTAGCAGTACGAAAGAGTGCACAATAACATGCATAACTCTAAAGATCAAAGACTAAGCACTAAATTCTTTAAGCAATTTAGATCGGTTCTTAAATTATAAAGTCGTGAAATCTAGCTGTTTAACCCTACGAAGCACAAGTGGCGACAGATTTAAACCTACAGAGTCAAATGGGATATATCGCAAAAAGATACGAGTTATGGGGTAGTTCTATGAAGAATCTGGATATTAGCATGTGAAGTAACAAATCAACATAGAAGACTTCATCCAGAATCTGACATCTTCATACTGTAGAAGATCGTTTACAGTCTTGCTATAAAAAGTATACATAGCAAATGTAAGGAATAACGCTAACGTTTAATGAAAACTTTAAGGAGTCCTGACAAGATTTTGGCCAATTTGATAAGGTGCTTATCAGGAAACAAATATTAATATGCTAATAATTGCAATTATGCTGAGATATTCGCAAAAATAGGCAGAGCAGAGGGTAAAACAATGGACTCAATGGTGTAATGGTTAACAAGTGAACCTCTAGGAAGGTAAATCGCGGGTTCAAATCAGGATTGGGTACAACTTTTGCAAATATCTCAGCATCATTTGGTTACATCTCACATAATACCTTACCGTAATAGGCAGTAGATACAAAGTTGAACATATAAATAATTGTTCATTGCTCAACTGTTCCAAAACATTTGAGTGACCAACTTGTGTGCACATGATTTCAGCTAAGATTTTAGTTCAGCTATAGTAAACACTTAGTTCAGAGACCTTCACCGATAGCTCTATTGAGTCCAACTTTTATGGCAATGTCCACCTCAAAGGAATCCTTAAGCACGCTATAATGAAACAACTTGCGGAACATCCTACACGACTCACGTCAGGCAACTCAGAGAGTACGGTTATCTGACCTCGGGTTCGGAATAGCTAATGGATTAACGTGTAGATAAAACCAAACCGTCATGTCCCAATTACGATTCAACTGGCTAAACCACGTACGATCTTCGAATGCCGCCTTGACCTAGCCACATTTCGTTGTGGGACCTATTTCCATAACTCACCTTGAGCCCTTTAATTTTTCTCAAATTAGATGTGGTTATTGTAGAAGTCTGCTCGTTTGTTGTGGAATAGTTCCATTGTTTAGTTAACTGTCATCAAATGTTAATGTAAAAGTTACTAAATACTCTGGTCTGCACTCATATTGATCATTGAATTACAAAGTTTCAAATCCACTAGGTGTGTTTTAGTTGGGAAGATCTGTAACTCCAGTAATCATCAGTGGTCCGGTTTTATCTGTATATTGGTTAAAATTGCTATTTCGCTTTGCTTCTACTTAAGGTAAGATTCCTACGATCCACACTATGTGCTAGTCTTTGTTGTCATGTAGTTCCTGGGACAAGAATTCCGTCTCTACACCATTCATGTATGTCCACCTCTAATGGTGATTTACTAAGGTACGATTTCGAACGCAAGGGTCTCTTCATCGTCCGAGTTAAATTCTCATATTTTTCGAACCAAAAGCTCGTTGCACCTGCATGAAAAACCGTTTTTCGAAATGCTTGAGAAGTGCAGTGCGATTTTAGAGTGCTATAGTCGTTCAGGGGGTGTCCAAGTGGCTCAGAACATCTTATTAGTCTTGAATTTCTTTTCTAAAGTGCGTAATTTACCTTGTTTCGATTCAACTACTTGGTCTGTGTACAAAACTTCTGTTCGTTCAAAATATTTTCACAAATTTCAACTTGTGGAGGGTTCCAGTTGTTCAAAGAGCACTCCTTTCGTAGGTCTGTTAACTGCTATTGGTTAATAGAGTGTATTCAGATATTCTGAGTGGACTAAATTCAGCTTACTTCGAAATGGTTCAGTCCAGCACTCTTCGTAAGACTGGGTTGGTTGTCGCAGTCGATAAGAATCTAGGGATTGCGAAGAATGGATGTATTCCGTGGAATCTGAAGAAGGATATGAAGCATTTTGTGGAACGGACTTCAAGCACAAAAGACCCCACGAAGGTTTATTATAGTTCTTGGGGTGTTTTAAATGAATAAATAAGTATATATCTTTTGTTGGGAATATGATAGTTCTTTTTCAAAGTGTTATTTTTATTTGGTTCATTTATTCGACACTCTTTAATAGAAAGGTAGGAGATTAATTTATGTGGTATTCGTTAAGCCCTTAATTACTTTCATCACGTTGTTTTTTAAAGGTCAATGCTGTCGTCATGGGTAGAAGATGTTGGGAAAGTATTCCAGAAAAGTTCCGTCCTCTAAAAAATAGACTAAACGTTGTCATCAGCCGAACCCTGCCTGAGCACCGAGATGAAAACCTCATCATAAGGTGCCGCTTCCGTCCTTTTTCACCAAAGAACACTCTGACATTGGGTTTTGTTTGATTTGTTACATTCTGTACAATTCAGCAGTAATTTCGATGAAATTATGGAGGAATTGTTGTGTGGTCGGCTATCGACGAATGTTGAGAGAGTTTGGAACATTGGAGGTGGTGAAATCTACAAGCTTGCGTTGGAAAAAGGATTCATAGACTGGATACTTATGACGAGAATTCAGAAAGAGTAAGACTCTGCTTCTTGTTATCTTTACAGGTTTGTAAGATTGCTTCAAGCATAATGTTATAATGCCGTTCCACCGTAGAGCTGACAAGCAGGGTTTCCGTTATAGCGAAATAGAGGAAATCATTTATTGCATAGAACGATTTCATAAGGGTTTTTGAACGTCCTATCCAACGAAAGCCTTTCCATCTTATTTCGGTAAGGTGGTCAAGGATTGCGGTGGAGAACGTAAAGAAAGGATAACGTTCTCGGCGTTGACCAATCTCTAAAGGATGCGCCATGCTTCAACTTCATTAAGCATCGTTTGGAGGTAACTGAATGCATACCTAGCCTTTACAATGACTCACGGTTGCCTACCGATGTATCGAGCCAGTGCCGCTATCCTCCCAGACAAAACGAATTTGCCGACCCCGGAGAGATGGAAGACTTGGTGGACCATGGGCGCGGGGGTCGATTTCACTTGTGTTTTGAAGGGCGCCTCCGACCATTGCGCCACACGCTCAGGCGGTGAAGGATATGAAGAGTAAAATTATACGTGACCTCCATTATCCTAATACGGCCTATCTCTACTAGCATCGTTGCATCGATCCTGTTTTGATGAAATTTCGATGAGTGTCGTGAGCAATTGTGTCAGGAACATTGTTAACCGTGAAGTCGGAATGATTTATACATACACATTATGGACACTTTATATATACACATTATGGACAATGGACTGTAGTGTCCATTTTTAGTTCAGTGGGTTATAGAACCTTACCGCACTGAATATACTCATTCGAAGGCTAGTCGAAAGAAGATGGAAATGGTAGAGGTGGAACGAGGAAATAATTCTCCACACCTGATGATCTGCAGAAAACCATTTCTCGAAGAAGTACAATTGTTTCAGTCGCTGTTGTTACTGTATGAAATACGCGGACATGAAAATACCGAAATAGACTCAGCATAAGCTGCGTAATGCTATCAAATTTGGACAGGAATGTGTTTCAATGGTGGACCACAGTAAAATATGGCAAACGGAAGCGTACATGTCAGTCTTACCAAAAGAACGATTCTTTTCTACAATCCTATCTTGTTCACAATCTCTCAAGTCCTCTAGTCATTAAAATTGCTTGTTTATTGTCGAAAAACAAGAGGTTCGCAGTCAGCGGATAACTTCATGTCGTAAGTGGAATAAGTCTGTGTATGTACATGTATATGTATATATATACATATGTATGTATAGAATGTATACGTCCGTATATATGTGCGTATATGTGTTTTTTTATGCGGCACTACTTCACACCCTCTATACGGATCCTAGAACTTGCATTCGATTCATTCTGTCATATCTATCGTTCGCGAAGCTTTTCGAATATTTCGGGTGTGGGTTTTGCTGCTGATGAAGAATTGTCGTCTTCTCTACGAGCGTCATTGAATGCTGGCGGAGTCGACTTTCACAGTATTCCTGGGATAGCCGTGTTACAACGTTTCTACTTGGAGTAACTCCCACGACCGACTTTCTATTAACCTCGGCATTGATCAAGTAATTCCACTAAAGCGAAACCTCATAGAAAGCGGCTCTGAGGAAGGCGAAATCCACCGAAACGTCAGCTTATTCGTGAATAAAGAACAATAACACCTCGCGTTTGCTCAACAAAAATACGAAGAGTTTCTACTTGGCTTTCAGAGAGTGAATTTTTCTCAGAAATCAGATGGTGAATATGGCAGTCGGCTTTTCATCTGGCCTGGATTCACACGATGCAAGTTTTTAATGGATTGTACGCGACGATGTTCGTAGCCTTACTCTTGTTGATAAAGGCACAACTGTAGCAGCTTATCAATTTCTTGTCACATGCTCTAAGAAAAACATATGTTTTAATAGTGTTCGTGTGAACACCCCACCTTTGCACATCAGTGATTTTTCCGTAAACGGATCTTTTTTAATTTTAAAACTAATATATGTTAGAACTTTTCATTTGTACAGTTTTCGTTACATTATTTTCCAGTTTTGATGCTGATGTGTTTCTCGATGGGATTGACTGGAATCATTACGAAGAAGATGAATCAGCTCGTTCTGATGTGATGAGTGAAAATGGACTTGAGTTCTCTTTTCATTCTTATCGTTATATTGGGTGAATTGTTTTATTATAAGAGTGGTGGTGTCCACTTCAGGGTTTTTTTCTTTCGTTTAGATTACCTCTGTTTGATTATTTTTTCTATCATTCTTTATTTAACGAGATTTTACAAATTGCTGTGGGTAATTTTTCATTTTGAAAGGGTAGCATTGGTGGAAATTATTGAATTGGTAATTCCTAAATTTGTGTTATAAATCATTCATCTGCTGAGTTTGTGCTTCTAAAAAGTGGTTTGCATTCGACGCCATATCGCAACCGCAATACCTGTTATCTATTAGTATTTAAATGGCATATTATTTATTGGTTTTGAGCATGGCATTCTAGAGATGCCTAACAGTCGTCGCAAGAAAAATAGCGGTTCGAGTACTCGTGTGGACTCGTCGTCGCAGAAAAGATTTGCGACAATAGCGACTGTTAATATTGCCGAAAATGCTGAAGCTGAGCAGGTAATGTTAGTAAATGGCACAGCCAGCGATAAACCAGAGATCTTGGTGGACGGATGCGTTGCGCATAATCCAGTACTTAATGGAAACATGGTGAGTTGGGTCAGAAATTGCTCTGTTATTTGAGATATTTTTATCATTAGTCTTTTCAAGTTTGTGGTCCTATGGATTCATAGAGAATTAGAATATTCTTGCAGTTAAATTATAAGAGAACAATGGAAACTCAGAAATCTTTTGGTGTTAATAACTCGGGAGAAAACTAACATGTTCCAAAGAACAGGCTGCTCCTAGTTCATCAATTTTTTTACTTATAAGTAAAGTTTCTAGGCTTTTAATCTTCTATTTATCTTTCTTCTCACCCCTTAAATTTGCAAGTTTTTCTTCATGTCGTTACAACATTAAAAGTTTTGCTTTAATTATAGACTTAGATCCAGGTTTACGCTACATTTAGTTTTGCGAAATATGGTTCATAATATGCAACTTATTCCTATGTTTACAACAGGTTTTATAGTGTTACGTTTTCTTGAAACTGAAATATATGTTTGCAGGCGGCAAGTTCGCAGACAGAGAGTAGTGACGTCGAATCTATATCGTCGGGATCTTCCAGACGTAACACGATGTCATCTTCCGGGGGAGATAGGGACACCATGCATTCTACGTGTAAAAACAAAGTTTTGGAAGAGCCTGTGCGAGCTATGTTGCAGTCGTGTTCTGTTGCTTCACACGTTGACTACGGCAGGTGAGGTGGCAACAAAAGACTTATGAGAGTAAGTCATTCTAATAAGTTTGTATTAGCGACGAAGGTGTGTTACGTACACCTGAAGATGCTTACCCGTGTTGTTCTTCATCTGAAGCAATGATAGGTGGTACCTCCGAAGGGTATACGCCAGTAAGCGGTGCAGCATCGCAGACAGAGTTAGCCAGTGGTAACGGTGATGGCTTACTCAATGTGCTATCTGTAAGTTCACTTCCATCGAGTTAAGGATGTATTCTGCGTCTATTATTCAAAGCGACTAATAGTAATAAGAGTACTTCTTTCAAAATTCCATCTAGAATCTTTTCCTAAACATTGTATTGCTTACCCCGATTCTTTACATGGTTGGCAAAATTCGTGTTTTATTGATATGTGATTGCCTGTTTTTTAACGGCTTAAAGCATTAACTACTATGCAGATGTCGTCTTGGGATCGTGTCGAAACAATCTGTGAATTAATTTCCTTTCTGAATGTCTACGAACTTCGCCTGTTAGGTGCATGCGTTGAGGGCGCCGCACGTCCTGCGTCATCGACGCCAACGATGCGACAGCATGAAACTCGTTCAAATTGCCCTCAATTCATCAACACAATGGCCGCAGAGATGTTAGTCGTCTTTTCTACTACCTTTGTTTCTGCAGTGCAGTACTTGTTGCAGGGGTAAAATACCCTACGCTCTCAAGGTAGAAGCAGCTTATAACGTTGTTTGCTTGCTGAACTCGACTAATCGCCAAGCT